AGGTATATGTGGAAACTGAGGAATTGTATGAAATGTAATGAGCTCTATAATTTATTGTATTATGATATTGTTCCCTTAGTGTGCCCGTGGTGAGCGTCATTATTCAGCTATGGAGGGTAATGGCTCTGATGGATCTGTGCTTGCACGACGGTGTTAAGTTACAGCATCCTACTTATGGTGAAAATGTACTATATTTGCAGAGTATAAAAATCTTTCTACATAGTCGTGTCCGCGATCTTGAACAGGTTATGGTTTGGTTTCAACAACTAGATGGGTTGGGATGAGTGAAAACATGAGCGTGTGTTTGATTTTGGAAACAAATGGTTGCCGGCCATGTGTTGTGGGAACAGAGTGTTCAGCAGCACGTAAAATTATGACAAAACCCTATTTTCAAAATTACTCTTATATATGAAAATATATGTCTTTTGCAAAAGTATTTATAAAATGAAACCATGCATGTGTCAGAAAGATAGCTTTATGCAAATAAAATCAAGCCTTATCCTTGATTTATCTATGCGCATGTACTGTTATCCCCTTTCGTAGGGTAAGGTTGGATTTGCTGAGTACCTCGTACTCACCCTTGCGTTGTTGAATAGAGGAAGATCTCCCAAAACCGCGTTCGAGTAAGGTCGTGTCTGCTCTCAACTAAGCCTGTGGCATTGGGATCCGTCAGATGTTTGACTACGATTCCTTTTATTTCTGGGTCTGTTGAATCTATATTATGTTCTGGTTACTTCTAATCGTGGCATGTCTTCATTGTTCACGTTTATCGAGACTACTGCACTTTATCTGATGTAATAAATGTGTTATTATCTTATGGGACTAGTATTTGTATCATAATTGAGTTCCCGGATGACCGGGGCGCTTCAGGGAGGTAATTGCTTGGGATTACTGTTTCAAGGAGGGTTTGTACAAAATTTAAATTTGGAACGTCCGTCGTTCGTGACAGGTTTACTCTGTCACCGTATAAAATAGGGAATCTCCTCCTCCCGCAACAAGCAACTAGTTTCATTTCATCTGCTCCGAAGCTATCGATTTCCATGCCTTCCAAGCAAAAGCTCGTGCGGAGCAAGCAGAGCTATTCGGGCATCACGTGGATTCTTCTGATCGTGAAGTAAAGCAACTTCACGTGCGGAGCAAGCAGAGCTATTCGGGTATACGAAGCTATTACATTGGTTTGTTTTGAAGAGTTTGTTTTCAAAAAATTATACCAATATTTTTTCTAAATAAATATGCATTTAAAAATACTAAAACCTAATTTGACCTTAGAAAAATTGTTTTGACTCAGAAAATAATGCATGAAGTTCGGTATCCCGAGCTCGTCCAAACTATGAACCTGCTCGATCATGTGCTCTCGGTGCGTGCATAAACCTATGACAATGACGACGAATGAGAAAGCGATCATGTTCATCTAGATGTTGCTGGCCAAGTTGGAGACGTCACTTCGAGAGTTTGAGAAGTTGCATGCCGGTTGCCGCTCATGGTCCAGTGAGCCTACACACGTTATCGTCATTATGTACCTTGGAGAAGGCATTGCTGTTACAAAGTTAAACCTCATGATACATATTGTTAATATGCAATCAGAACTTAAATTCATCTTTATTTGGAAATTTCTCGTGTAAGTATCGATGATTAAGCAAGACATTGTTGCTGAGAAAACATTATCTGAGTTTGCATTGCGGACGGTGATTCACGCTTTGGTCTGCAAGGATTTTTCTTGGCCTACATCCTCTCTCATATTTGGCATAGTTTTAGAGTTTAGGAATAGACGATTCAAATAATTCTAAGCAAGGAAGAAAAACACATAGCATGATTTTAGAAAAAAAACTACTTTTCGTAATTTTTGAGTAAAAGCAAATCTTTGAAATTTAAGGTTAAACCATATTTTATATTTTAAATACACATTTTTCACAAAAATATTTGATAATTTTTTTAGAAAAAAATCTACATTTTTTATAGAGTTTAATTGATTTTTCCATGGCTGATATGGCACTATATCAGCTAAAACCATTTAGAAACTGGACCGAACGGTTTGAAAAGTTAGTAGTCTTAAATATTTGGTTCTTTAATTGAACGAGGTAAATTGAACTTACGCAATAGTCGAGAAGGTCGTCCTTAATGATAAGATAATCTGAAATGCTACGGTGCTGGCGTCTAACCGTCCGGACGCCGTGCTTCCTGAGTGTGTGCACTACGAGTCCGATAGACTTGTTTCCCTTTACCTTCATTCTTTCACCGTTCCTCAAAATAAAAAAGACGGCGACATTCCCAACTAGCATGGTCGTCACGGCGTTTCCTACCACTCGCCCACTTCTCGTCTTCTCCAGCGACGACCACCTCTGCTTCCTCCGTCCCGGGGCCCTCGCTCGCCTCCGCGACACCAAGCTGCACCGCTGGAGGGGCACCTACCGCTCGCCTCTGCCCTCATCGCCGAAGCCAGCGCTAGCGTCCTCCTCGTCAACTCCTCCTGTGGTTGGAGACCGCAAGGGCATCACGGCCGTGCCGTACTTCACGCTTGCATCGAGGCTTCGCACGCCTATAACTGGGACTTGGGCCGTGCCATTTGAGGGCCGGTCATGGCACGGTCTTTTGGCATGACCCGAAGCATGGTACGGCATGAAATGTTTTAGGCCATGTCGTGCCTAGGATGTCGGCACGGCGGGCTACATGGCCCGGCCCTCATTTTGGGTCGTGCTTGGGCCAGCACGGCGCGAAAATGGCACGTAGACACTTCTACAACTATACAATCCAATTTTCTAGCATTTACTGTACTATCTCTCATCTAATTCTTGAATAGATTATGAAAATGACTAAAACTTTCATTAAAATAGTATACACAATATATATATATATATATATTTCATATCACGAGCGGGAAAAAACTAGCAGATACATTTTGAGAGCCGTGCTTGGGCCGGCACGACCCGAAGGCGTGCCGGCGTGCCACGGGCCGTACTTGGGCCAAAGAAAAGATTTACCGTGCCACATCGACACGGCCCGATGTACTTTCCGTGCCTAGAGGGCACGACCCGAAGCGGCACGAAGCACGAGAGGGCCATGCCATGCCGGACGGCCTGGCCCAAGTTCCACCTCTACGCACGCCCCGATGCCTCTAGCGGAAGAAGCTCACGACAGCCAAGCCCGTGGTGCTCTTCGCTCCGCCACCTCCTAGCCCCGATCTAACCATAGAGGTGGTTATCGAGTTCATCAACGCACGTGACATGGTGGCCGCCTTGCACTAGAGTGTCGCGCCTGACATGTTGCAAGCGTATGTTTCAATTCCAGATGTTCTAGAGGTATGTTGCAAGTGTTTCATATGGACGTTGCAAAAGTAGATCAGGATGTTACATATGTTGCAAAGTGTTTGTTCAAATTGTTTCATCTGTTTCGGACGTATATTGCAAGCGTTTGATCAAAATATTTCATCTGTTTCATATATACGTTGCAAGCATTTTTTATCTGGATGTTGCATATGTTTTACACATATGTTGCAAGAGTATGATCGAAATGTTTCAGCTCTTTCAGTCTTACGTTACAATAAGTGTTTTCATATTATAAGTTGCAAGTGTTTTATCTGGATGTTGCATATGTTTCACACACATGTTGTAAGTGTATGTTACAAATGTTTCATCTGCTTCAAACATATGTTGCGTTTAAGTGTTTCATGTTTCAGTGGTATGTTTAGAGAGTCATTGGGGCACGCCCCGAGCGCCGTGGGAAGGGACGCGTCAAGCGGGGGGTCGACGGGTGGGGCGCGCGACGCGTCTGGGGTCCTGCGGATGGGGCGTACTCGTCCTCATCTTGGCTCCTGGGTCTTGCCCCACGCGAAAAGAGAGATGAGGGGATCAGGGGAAGGAGCAACGGGCGCGGGGCACTGCAAATCGAACAGGGGCGGGGTACACCTGCGGGCGGGACTGATGGGCCATTCTGCTAGCTGTTCGATAATCCTATCCATGGAACGTCCGGCCGCCAGCAATTCCAGCAATTCCCTAAGATAATAGGGCTGGGCTTCTTTGCTGAGTCTACTTTTGTGGTGCTGTCCAGGCCCATAAGTCGGTGTGATGTTATAGGCCCACTAGACTTATTTTTTATATTATATATCGGGGCCGGTAGCGCCGTAACGGTATATACCACGGAAACGTAGAGCGCACCAGGCGCCAAAAGGCAGGCATCCTCCGCCACCACATCCTCCTCACCCCGGTCTCGTCTCGTCGTGCGCTTGTCCCTTTCCACCGCCCCAACCAAATGCGGAGGTCGCCTCTCTCTCCCCCTTATCATCGCCCACGTACACACCCAGTTCCTCGCAACTGGGCTCCCCCGCCTCCACGACACTGCCCCCGCCTCGCCAAGTCCGCCGCCTGCCCGCCTCCCATTCCTCCTCTCCAGTTCGCCCGCGGCCGATCTCCTCCATCCGCTCGCCGCGCCGCAACCCGGAGAGGAGACTGCGCTCGGTCGAGCACCACCTGGGGCCCAGCGTCCTCGCGACCAGCTCCGGCGCGGCGTCCGCCCTCTGCAGCCTCGGTGTCCCCGCGACCGTCGCTGCTGTCCTACTTCGCCACTCGCCACCTTGGCCGGCGACGAGCACCACCAGGACACCAGGTATTCCCTCCCCTTGGTATTATGCCTACTAACTTCAATTGCTTTGCAAAAATTATTGGGTGTACATGTGTACACCCATGTCCTTTACTGGGTCCGCCCCTGGAGTGTAGAACCTAGAGGGGCGATGCTGCTTGTTTAATCTGAGGTGGTGGTGTTACAAAGTTATCTGGAACTTGGTCCGGATCATGCTATTTTTTTTTCTGTCTCGTTAATTAATCCATCAATTGTTCTCAGCATAGAGTGACTTCATTAGTATTTAGCAACCTGGATCAGTTTACTCACGATACTCTGAAGGACTTCATGAACTGTGGGTCTAATGGCTCCTCTTGAATTTGCAGTAGTCTGCCTGTGCCTATTGGTTGAAGCGGAGCTGACCACACTTCATCAAGAGTTGCTTCAACATGGACACTGGCTGCCTGTCATCTATGAACATCACTGGAGCTAGCCAAGCAAGACCTTTTGCGGGACAACTTCCTCAGAGATGTTTTGCGAGTACTCACCATTCGAGCTTTGCTGTGAAAAATCTTGTCTTAAGGAATAAAGGAAGGAGATCACACCGTAGACATGCTGCCTTGCAGGTTCATCTTTTTGTTTTTCTCCTTTTCCATGCTTTCACTGTGTTTCTTGTGAAATCATAATTGATTGCCTTTTCTGCAGGTTGTCTGCAAGGATTTTCCAAGACCTCCACTAGAAAGCACAATAAACTATTTGGAAGCTGGGCAGCTCTCTTCGTTTTTTAGAAACAGCGAACGCCCCAGTAAACCGTTGCAGGTCGTGATTGCTGGTGCAGGTCTGACGGAATTCATGATTAATGTTTTCACAGATGTTATTTTCCTTTGTAAGTTGGGGAATTTGGAGGGAAACTCTAATTGGCTGTTAGCTTTATTAATTTGTTATGTTACTTTTGCAGGATTGGCTGGTCTATCAACGGCGAAGTATCTGGCAGATGCTGGCCATAAACCCATATTGCTTGAGGCAAGAGATGTTTTGGGAGGAAAGGTCTGATAGATACTTGCATGACTGTTTGCCACTCTCTGATTTTTTTTTGAGGTCAACTACGGGAGGGATCAAACCGATCCCCACCTGATTTCATTTCCACAGATCCCGGCAAGCCGGTGGGTGGAAGGGTGCAAAGCACCTAATACTGCCACTCTCTGAATTGCTCTCATTCACTGTTTTCATCATTTGTTCCTTTATGATTCTTTTTGTATGCATTGATAGGTAGCTGCTTGGAAGGATGAAGATGGGGATTGGTACGAGACTGGGCTTCATATCTTTTGTAAGTTACAGTTGTGGTCCTCAAGGTTCTCTTCATCATATTTGATGTTCTTGATTATTTCTATTAGAAAAGTACAGTTAATATGATGGTTTCTACACATATTAACAAACTGTTACTTGTTAAAAAAATATATTAACAAACTGTTGAGGCACACCATCGCACAAACCTCTAAAGCACTCTTTTCTTGTATCATGCATTCATGCTTTTTAGTTTTCCTAATGTCGCAGGAGTTTCTTTCAAGGACAATTTATAAATATCTGTGCAAAATCATTATTGAGAAAGGGACTTTGTTAAGTTACTAGTAGTGACAAAATAGCCTGAAAAATTTGCAGACGACTAAAACATACAGCAGCACATGTTTCAACGTCACATAAACCATGTTGACCCATGGGCCATCTTATCCATAATGCCATAGTCGAATATATGTTCTTCTGTCCACATGAGCAGTTGAGCACTGGATTGCTACTATTCCCTTCCTAGCATATATGACACTTATTGTGTACGTGTATGTAACCATGTATTTTGGATTTTTGGTTTAAGTTGGAGCTTATCCCAACATACAGAATCTGTTTGGTGAGCTTGGAATTGAGGATCGTTTGCAGTGGAAAGAACACTCCATGATATTTGCCATGCCAAACAAGCCAGGAGAATTCAGCCGGTTTGATTTCCCAGAAACTTTACCAGCACCTTTAAACGGTAAGATTATAAACAATTTGGAGTTAGCACAACAGGTTCTCTCATTTTGCTAATATATGGACATTATTAGGGGTTTATTAGTGGCAATAGTAACACTACATCATTACTGTTGAGCTTAACTCTGCTAATTGATGCCATACTATGATTCACTATTGTGCTTTTAACAGGGATATGGGCCATACTGAGAAACAATGAAATGCTTACCTGGCCGGAGAAGGTGAAGTTTGCAATTGGACTTCTGCCAGCAATGGTGGGTGGTCAACCTTATGTTGAAGCTCAAGATGGCTTAACCATTTCAAAATGGATGAAAAAGCAGGTACGAGTTAAATGTGTTGATTAGACTAGTCTCTGTGTAGAAAACATTTTGCCATCTCATCAATATTAGAGAGCTTGTAGTTTGCCAGTAATTTTCCTTTCTTGTCATATCTTCTGGAAGGAGCATAGTTAGGTCCATAAACGGGAATGCTTCATATGCTCAAGTTCTTATCTTATATTTTGTTGTAAACCCCTTTCTGTGCAAAGTTAGGCTGAGCGATGCAATGCTTATGGTTGCATTAACTGTTCCAGTAAAGTCCAGCGATTTTCTTCCCTTTAGATCCAGCATTGTAGCCGAAATGACAAAAATGCAAAGATTTTTTTTGGGTGCTAACTGATAAAGTCCCAACGAAGTACGTCGGGCTCATTAAGGACATGTACAACAATGTTGTGACTAGTGTTCGAACAAGTGATGGAGACACGGATGACTTCCCGATTAGGATAAGACTACATCAAGGGTCAGCTTTGAGCCCTTATCTGTTTGCCTTAGTGATGGATGAGGTCACAAGGGACATCCCTTGGTGTATGCTTTTCGCGGACGATGTAGTGCTAGTTGATGAAAGCCGGACAGGAGTGAATCAGAAACTAGAATTATGGCGGGAGACTTTGGAGTCAAAGGTTTTAGACTCAGTGAGAACTAAAACCGAGTATATGAGATGTGACTTCACAGACTACTACTGCGGGAGGAAGAAGATATTAGTTTGGAAGGTCAAGTAGTGCCTAGGAAGGATACCTTCGATATTTATGATCAATGCTACTGAGAGAGGCGGGGATATTGATGAAGAGTTAGCTATAGAATCAAAAAGCGGGGTGGATGAAGTGGCGCCAAGCATCCGGTGTCCTATGTGACAAAAGGGTACCCTGAAGCTAAAAGGCAAGTTTATATGGGACGACGATTAGACACTGCTATGTTGTATGGTGCGAGAATGTTGGCCTCTGAAAAGGCGACATGTTCAATGAGATAAGTGTCGCAGAAATGCGTATGTTGCGTTGGATTTGCGGTCATACAAGAAGGGATCAAGTTCGGAACGATGATATACGTGATAGATTAGGGGTAGCACCAATTGAAGAAAAGATTGTCCAACACCGGTTGAGATGGTTTGGACATGTCCAACGGAGATCTCCAGAGGCACCGGTGCGTAGTGGAATCCTAAGCCAGGATAGTAACGTGAAGAGAGGCAGAGGAAGACCGAAGTTGACTTGGGTAGAGGCAATAAAAGGAGACTTGAAAGGATGTAATATACCCAAAGACTTAGCCTGAGATAGGAGTGCTTGGAAAACAGCTATTCACGTGCCTGAACCTTGATTGCTTCTGCTGGGTTTCAACTCTAGCCTACCCCAACTTGTTTGGGACTTAAAGGCTTTGTTGTTATTGTTGTTGTTGTAACTGATATACACATACAGTGTTCTTCAGATTTGGTTTTACTTTTGCCATTTGGAATACAGATGGTAATACATCCTTCATTGTTTATGGTCTCATGTGGTGCCTGATACAATTATTTGATCAGCACAGGGTGTTCCTGATCGGGTGAACGATGAGGTTTTTATTGCAATGTCCAAGGCACTCAATTTCATAAATCCTGATGAGTTATCCATGCAGTGCATTTTGATTGCTTTGAACAGATTTCTTCAGGTATAGCTGCTGTTGCTTTTTTTAATTGTGTAATATATTATTTGCCTGTTCTGTTTGGAGAAATAGCCTACATATGTCGATTCTTATTTTCTTGTCTATATTCTTGTTTTTACTTGAGAAAATGTTAATATGTACTTGCAACGTTAAGATACCTTGTGAGTCTTTCAAAAGATTACTTTGTGTAAATGCGCAGGAGAAGCATGGTTCCAAAATGGCATTCTTGGATGGTAGTCCACCTGAAAGGCTATGCATGCCTATTGTTGATCACATTCGGTCTAGGGGTGGAGAGGTCCGCTTGAATTCTCGTATTAAGAAGATAGAGCTGAATCCTGATGGAACTGTAAAACACTTTGCACTTAGCGATGGAACTCAAATAACTGGAGATGCTTATGTTTGTGCAACACCAGGTGTGATTTGTTTCCAATAAAGAATAAACCTTGTTTCCTGTGCAGCTATTCAATTTAACTGACTAGTCTTTGTATTTAGTTGATATCTTCAAGCTTCTTGTACCTCAAGAGTGGAGTGAAATTACTTACTTCAAGAAGCTGGAGAAGTTGGTGGGAGTTCCTGTTATCAATGTTCATATATGGTTAGTTGATTGAAATATTTGGTTCTGAATTGGAAATGAATTGATTCCCTTGTCTGGTTATGCTTGTTCCTCAAGACATTCCTGAAGCTTTGCTGAGAATTTCTGTTGTTTTGAATACCTCAGGTTTGACAGAAAACTGAAAAACTCATATGACCATCTTCTTTTCAGCAGGTATCTCTCCTAGCTGTAGTTCATGCATTTTTTTGTGCAGTAAATCTTGATTATGATTATTTATCATGATATTTTATGTGCTATTCTGGTTGCGCTGTCGTTCATGTTTGAATGTCTATGTTCAGTATTAAATACTGTATGCCTTGTTTGTTTTCTTTTCAGGAGTTCACTTTTAAGTGTCTATGCAGACATGTCAGTAACCTGCAAGGTACTAACTTGAGGAGCTTGTCATCATCATTCCATAATCACTAGCATACTAAATATTCGTTGTTTCTAGGGCCTCAGGGACCTTCACATGTAATCATACAATATCCACCTGAATTTTACTTTATTGACTACAATGAAAGGTCCTATGGCTTATGTGATTTAGAAGGAATTCATTATTAAGTGGAAATATAAATATCTTCGCGTTATGAATTTTAGTCATGTGCTTTATAGATGTATTAAAGTGTAGGACTTTAATCATTGGTGAACATGTCTGTATGAATCACGATATGTTTGGTAGCAAATGACATGGATGCACACTCACCTGTTTCTTTCCTTCTGTTTTTCTAATTCTTTACAGGAATACTATGATCCAAACCGTTCAATGCTGGAGTTGGTCTTTGCTCCTGCAGACGAATGGATTGGTCGAAGTGACACTGAAATCATCGAGGCAACTATGGAAGAGCTAGCCAAGTTATTTCCTGATGAAATTGCTGCCGATCAGAGTAAAGCAAAGATTCTTAAGTATCATGTTGTGAAGACACCGAGGTGAGGATATTTGCCAGAGACCCTTCCTGATAGAGGCTCAAGCTCTGATAGTTTTATGTGTTGTTTCCTTATGTTCGTATTCTGGCTTGCTTTGACAGATCGGTTTACAAAACTGTCCCAAACTGTGAACCTTGCCGACCTCTCCAAAGGTCACCGATAGAAGGCTTCTATCTGGCCGGTGATTACACAAAGCAGAAATACTTGGCTTCCATGGAAGGTGCAGTTTTATCTGGGAAGCTTTGCGCCCAGTCTATAGTGCAGGTAAATACTCACCTTGGTCCTGGTTGTACATAAAAGCATCAGATTGCTGTGTTGTTGAATTCATTTCAGTATGATACATGTTTTGCGTCTAATGAATTAACATTTACTGCTTTCAGGATTATAGCAGGCTCGCTCTCAGGAGCCAGAAAAGCCTACAATCCGAAGAAGTTCCTGTCCCATCTTAGCTGTAGTTAGTTTAGCTATCGCCATCCCCACTGGGTGCCATCTTATCACCTATTTCATTTTCACGGGAACCCACCAAATGGTCATGTTGGAGACACCTGTTATGGTCCTTTGACAATTCTTTAGAGTTGAATTGTGACTGTAGTTGATATCATATTCGGAAAAAGCGATATATATGTAAAAGGACCTGCATAGCAATTGTTATACCTTTGGGAAAGCAAAAGCGATAAATAGATCTGAGAGAGACATTGTGTTGTAGCACTTTCAGATGGTGGTTCCTATCAATCGGTTAAATTCATCCCACATGGGAAGATTTGCATTGTGCTTGAGGTAAGGCGGTAAGCTTGGGTGCATTTGGTTCGAGGAAGAAGTTGGATGGGATATGGCGATATATGGATATTGGGATAAGGATATCTATGATGTATGTTTAGTTGGATGGATAAAATGAGTTATTTTTTTGTTTGGTTGGATAGATAAGAGTGGATTGGATAAGAATAATTCACTAATTATATCTATTATTTTAAAATAATAACAACTAATTAGACACTGATAAATATGCACTAATACTAATTTTATCATGATAATCACTAATTTAAAATAAAATATGTTAATTAGAACCACTAATATCCTAATTAGCACACAAAACATGCACTAATCAATGTATTAGCACTTATCAAAACTAATCCTACCATTATAATAACTAAGTAATAATATAACATACTAATAATTCTTAATTTATTTACTAATGATAGATATTAGAAGAACTGGATAAGTTGATCCGCGAGATTTTTACAAATAAGGAAATCTAGCATCTTATGGTATATTTTCTATCCAGGGATTTTCTAATCCCAGTGATCCAGCAAACCAAACACATCCGTCAGCAAACCTTTGGTGGTCCCTACTCCCTGAACTTTATAAGAAGAGCTGCTGTAGCAGTCACTGAACATAGACAATCCCGAAGCTGTGTGCCAAGTTTGTTGCAGTTATTAAGCACAGGAGGTGCGGAATGGACTTTGGCCGTCAAGATATTTTTCCTCCGATTCCTAGCGTCTCAATAATTGTCCTTTTGAACCCATATATTATTATCACTGGTCACATTTCTCTTATATGTTTGTACTGGACTATACAGGAGTGTTTATTATCTGGCAACTGGCATCCAGCAAGCTGTGCTGGATGCGTGCCTCCGATGTTACATCTACCTGAATGAAGTGGTGTAACTGGACCAAGAAAGCATCAGAACAATATACCTTTTCTTGTTGGGCCAACGTCCGAGCGGGCATTCCCCACGAGTGTGCTGCGCCCCTGTCACTGCGTCCCCCGGTCTTTCCCCTGACCCCTCCTTTCTCTCTGACTCTCCGCGCGGGCGACAAACGAGAGTTGGGATGAGCGGTTGAGGATGAACACGCCCCCCAACGTGCCTCGACCTACTGGCACCCCGTCAGCGGCCCTAGCACCCCTATTCATTAGCCCCGGCCAAACAACGTAAAACACTTGCAACATGAATGTAACATAAGGTAAAAGCAGATGAAACATTTAGAACATGCTCTTGTGTGTTTGAAACACATGAAACATCTAAAATAAAACACTTGCAACTTGCAACATGAAACCACCTGCTACAACATAAGATTGAAACAACTGAAACATTTGGAACATACTGGTGCAACATATGCAACATCTAGATAAAAACAATTGCAACATATGTCTGAAAACAGATAAAGTATTTTAAACAAACGCTTGCAACATGCCTCTGAAACACTTGCAACATATGCAACATCCCCAATCTACTTTTGCAACATCAAGATGAAACGATTGCAACATACATCTGAAACGCCTGAAACATACATGTGCAACATAGCAGGGGGAGGAGGGAGGCGGTCCGGTCGGTCCGGCCGTCGGGGTGGGAGCCGACGGCCGAGCCGTGGTATGCGAACACCACCACCACCGCTTCAGCTTCGTGGGTGCCATTGGCTCGGCCGGAGAAGACTGAGGTGCCACGGTATGTGTGCCCTAGCGGCCATGGTGCGGTCAACGGCGCACGCGATGGCGATGGGAGAGCAGACAGGCGGAGGCGAGGAGCAAGCGGCACAAAGGACCGGGACGGGCCTTGACGTGGTGGGATGAGGCGTGAGGCGATGTAGGGAAGAAGCTGACGGCGGCGGTAAACCGGCGAGCGCAGCGGTGGGGGAAGAGGAGTGGACGAATGAGCGGCCACGCTGCTACGTGGGGTGCTGGGCAGATAAGGTTGAACGAGTGGGGATTTGTTTTTCTGTTTATGAGAGAGAGATGGGGCCCACTCGAGCCGTGTCCAGACGGGAGTCACAGATGGATGACCATGTCGTATCATTATTGCTTCTCGTTAGATTTGTATTCCCAAAGAATTTTTTTTTTAATTTTGCCAAAGAATTATTTGTTGTCTGTTTAGGATAACAGAATACTCATAGTCTGTAGCGCGCCTACACGACGACGACGATATGCGAAAAGCTCAAGCCGCTGGCTCGGCAGAGGAGCTGGGAGTGGAAAATACTTGTACCCAGGAACGTTCGTTCGCCAAATCGCCCCGTACTTTACATACACACACAAAAGGAAACGGAAAGTGAGCCCAGATGCTACTTGCATGGGCCGAGCAGCAGCATGGGCCCAAACTTACTCCGGGCCGACCTGCTTTAGCAACCGGCCTAGTACAGTACGAGTTGGTTAAGGCCCAGCTTTGTCCCCGAGCCTAGCCAAAAAAAAAAAAGGGTAGTGCTTGTTGCAGTGGGTGCACTAGACTAGAGCACCATTTCAGGCGTGTTCCACTAAAAAAAAACCATTTCAGGCGTGTCCACTATTGAGTGTCGAGTGCTGACTAGTGCACGGCGGGAGTCTGGCCTGGCGAGGTGATCGGTGAAGCAACGTCGCAACCGCAGAAGCCAAGCCTGGCCAACACACGGCCTGCCACCTGCACGGCTGCACTGGGACGCATCGGAACCTCCGATGATGGAACATCAGGCATAACTCCTTCGTCGCACTTTTAATTGAACGTTCTATATATTTTTTTATAATCTCAGCGAGAGAAATACAATGATAAAGTCCATTTAACATTTTAACGACTTCATAAAATAAATAACTTTTTTAACGAACAAGAGGGGATTTAGACACTACTGGAAAAAATGAACAAGTTCGGTGGTTAACACTACTCCTTCCAAATCATTGCAACTCTCTATTGAACACATGGTGGTTATCATCATCTCCACCATGTTTCTAGCCTTGCTCAAGTTCATCTTAGATCATCACATTTACCCATCAGGCCAATAGGTTTCGGCTCAATTGACCAATTTTAGACTTGAGTAAATTTCACTGGCGGTCCCCGAACTTGTCCCGCGTTCTCAAATAGGTCCTGGTACTCTAAAAATGCAGAATCGCAGCAGTAAACTTGGTTTAGTGTATCAATCAGGTCCAAAGTGGACTCAGGGGAGCAAGAATGCCGATGTGGCATGTCCAGCCGGACTGGGCGGCACTGTAGACGCCGTTTCCGTTTGCTGCTCCCTAGAAAATATGCATAAAGATCCTTGCCGTTCATAGCCTCTCCCCACTCTCACTCTCTCACTGTCTTTCTCTCTCTCTCTCTCGGTCTCTTCTCTCTTCCTGTTCTTTGGGTCGAGTAGATCTGGATCCATGGCATCCAGTGCAGGGGCGCCGGTTAGAGGTTGGGTCGGAGGACCAAGCTCCCTTTGATCTTTTGCTCGGACTCCCACTGGAGGAAGGTGGTTGAGCTGACATCGCACACCAGTAATAATCTGGACAAGGTGTTCTTCACTTGCCCAAATCAGAAGGTATGGTTGGATCTGATTCTTCTATCACACATTTGCTCTTGAGCCCCTCTGTTGATGCTTGGATTTTCTGAGAATGGAAAACACATTGCATGAGTTCTGTGGGAAGATGAGTATGTCGAGTATTTGCGGTTCAATCATGGCTATAAGGGTCTTATTGGACAGCAAGGAGGGGATGAAGGTGTTCTGAACAGCACAATAGTATAAGTAGATGAAGAAGCAGGTGCACTCATCCACATAGGAGCTATAGGACATGCAGCCGATGGTAGAACAACTCAGAGTGAAGAGACAGTGAAGGAACAAGACATGCTTGCTAATGCAGTCAAGGATATCAGTGTGTTGCTTAAGGCCCTAATAGCTATAGCTCAGTGTGGGCTAGTTGTAATGATTTGCAATCTAGTTGTTTTTCTTTTCAAGTAAATCTAGTTGTGATAAAAATATTGTAGTTCTTTGAAAGCTGCTCAAGGAAATGTAACTCTAATGAAATTCAGTTATGAAGTTATTTTGTTATCCAACTAGCTTAACTGAAGACATGTCATTTGCAATCCAGTTCACATGCAAACATATCTTACACAAAGTTGACATGCAAACATACTCACATATTTTCATACACAAAGTTGTCATCCAGTTCATATCCAAAGATACCGAAACACTTTCAGACATACTGCAGTCACATTGCTGCTTAACCCAAGGTAGCTGAAACTGCAATTGAGACACAATGACCATCGGTTTTTGGGCTGCACATATCTTACATCATATAGTTGAGGTGTTGAGTTGATTCCTAGTTGTCCCTACAGCTCAAAGCACTATGTAAATACTATGTAAAATGATGTATGCGTCCATATTGTTTTTGGTGCAAATTACATCACAAAAGTTGCATTTCTATCATTCACAAAAGTGGTCAGGCGTATGTACATCCAAAAGTTTCCTTCTATCATTCAGAAAAGAGGTCACTTTCGGCGAGGTTTACGAGGGTGTCTTTGCCTTGGTGGTCATCCCAGATGCTTTGTCTTCTTCACTGCTGGTTCCTTGGTGTTTTTTCCTGTTCGTTTGCGCTTGGCAATGTCCTTGCCCCTTTTAGTTGCAGTTGTCAGAGGAGCAGGCCTTGGAAGAGGTTGGTTAGTTGCAATGAAGGAGCAATCAGGTAAGGGTCCTTGGTTACTATCACCAGCAGTATCAACAATTGATGTCTACGTGTAGGTGTTACCATGATTAATACTTAAACACATATAAATGAATATTTTCTTTGGTATTTAATAGAGGTGGCAGAGTCACCTCATCAAGCATTGTGACCACATTGGGTCCCCAAAATCTTTATCCTGCAATCCTTGTGGTGCACCATGTTCCTGCATTGGAAGAGAGGATTGCTTGTAGCACTCAAGAGAGGTTTGTACATGGGTAATCATAGGTTCCTACACTAGACTATCATCAACAATGACTTCAACTGGTGTAGCTAGAACAGTCCTTACACCTGGCCTCAAATCGAGCTTCCTAAATGGACAGCCTGCCCTATTGTGATTCTCACCCTTGCTCCAACTACAGGTGATTATGGTGCAATGTCTGCTCAGTTGGGGGCCATATTTGCCTTGAACGTCCTAAGGTTGCTTCCTCCTAGACTTGGGTGGCCTGCCAACTTCCTTTTCATAAATAGGTGGCTGAACCTGAGGACCATTGGTCTTCTCCCATAGTGACTGGTCTTTGCAAGGCATAATATTGAAGCCATACACTTTGCCACATGTCTCAATTGAATAGCATGATGGCATCATTTCTTCAGTAGGAAATCTTTCATGCCTAAGACAGGCAACAGCATGGTTGCAAGGGATTCCAGTCAAGTCCCATTTCCTACAGTCACAGGACTTAGTCAATATGCTGACTATGTAATCCTTCCCACCAGATTGGACTTGGAAAATCCCCTTGCCAGCTGGAAGAACAAAGCACATATTAGAGAACTCTGAATTCTTCAATAGCTTATTCCTGATTTTGGGGTACACAGGACCTATCCATTTCTCACTCAACTCCTTCTGCTTGTTGTAAAACCTTGTCATTAGTTGTGCCTTGATTTTCTAAATCATGCTCAATATAGGTAGTTCTCTTGCTTCAAGAATGTACTTGTTGAAACTATTATTCAGTAGGATGTTATATTTTGGGAAACAACTGAAGTATACTCTTAACCTAAGTATTAGGTGCCATTTGCTCTAGCCATGCATGAGCTTTGGAATCAAGGGTCTTCATCTTCTCCATGTTAGTGTTAAACTTAGTCACAGTTGTAGACCTAGCACAAGCCCATAGTTGGTTCTTTAAATTTTCACCCTTGAAATTGCCACTAAAGTTACGGTACAAGTGTCGAACACAAAATTTATGTTACGAGTGGAGAACACTTCTTGTACAGCAGGTATCAAGCCCTTTTGCTTGTCAGTCATTACAATCCAAGGAAATGTGTTCTAGAAGTTAAGGTCTTCTTTTAGAGTTTCTAAAAAACAGTTCCAAGTTAACTTGGACTCCACTTCCACAACTGCAAAAGCTATTGGAAATATACAGTCATTTGGGTCAACACCTACAACAGTTAGTAACTATCCACCATACTTGGTTTTATGTGGCATCCATCCAAGCATATCACGAGGTCTACACCCACTTAGGAACCCTCTCTTGCAAGCATCTAGATAAACATAGAGATGACTGAAATGTCCATCAGCTAAACCAAGGTAAAAGGTGCTTCTGGATTTGATCCTTATCTCACATCCATAGTCCCGAGAGATGATTGTCTTTGCTCTATTTCATTACCACATATTTGTTGCGGTGCAGGGTTTCTTGCTCTGCAAAGCTTGCTCCTAGAGGGTGTTAGGTTCCAATCTTACGCACAACTCTACCAAAATTCGCTAAAGTCATCTTTGGGTCATTCTGGCCCTGTCCAAGTACTTCTGAGCAAGTATAGGATCTCTGGTTGGCCTAGAGGGGGTGAATAGGCCCGTCAAAACAAACACTCAAACTTTTATCAAATTCACCCTGCGGCACTACCGCTCTGGAGAAGCAACGCTGCAGGGACCGAACAATGACACTACCGCACTTCTGAGACAACAGTCACAGTTCAAAATCGGTGAGCGAAAACTTACATCGGAGAAATTTCTCGACTTGAGTCACGGGTTATGTTTTAAAGTAGGGAGTATATATACTTCTCCTACTCGTCCAACTAAGCTCTCTTGCCTATTTATTCAGCTGAAAAACACCTGTGGAGTGCAAGGGAGAGCAAGAGACTAGTGGGGTGATTGAGATTTAATAATTCAAGATTAAGGACCTCATTAGTGCATATGGGTAGTAGTGTGCATCCACATTTCTCATTAGGCTTGTCTTGGTCAAGTGAGAGTTTATGCTTGTTACTCTTGGTGATCGCCATCACCAAAATGGCTTGGTGGTGATTGGAAACTTGGTGATCATCCGATGGAGCTTGTGGATGACCCAAGTCATGGTGTGGAGCGGTTGTGGGCGATTCACCGCGATAGAGTGTTATAGAATCGATCTGTAGAGAGCACTTGATCCTTACAGCGGATCAAGGGGAGCTACACCCTGCTGTGAGTGCTCCAACGAGGACTAGTGGGGAGTGGCGACTCTCGATACATCGGAAAAACATCGTCGCGTTCCTCTCCTTCTCTTTACTTTGAGCATTTACATTTGAGCAATTCAATTCATGTCTTTACATTCTTATAATTGTCATGCTAGAGTAGGATTGGAACCTAGAGTGCAAAACTTTTATGGTAGAACAATAGAAACACTTCTAGATACAAAGGGGTAAAATAGGCTAAGTGTAGGGCTTAATTATTAAAAGAAATTTAGAATTAGTCTAATTCATCCTCCCCTCTTGGACATCTTGATCCTTTCACTCCCTTCCTTTCAGTATACTGTGGAGCCATTGGGGAGTGGGTTAGGGCTGAGTCGAGTCTCCGCCACCATTACAAGCTGCACGGTGAAGACCGCTCCATGATCCGCACCTCCATCGTCGCCCCTCTAGTCCCGTCGTCACACAAGACAGAAGCGAGTGAATGGGTGGGCTTGGACAGAGCGAGGGAGGCGAGCTTCACAGGAGGGTTTCGCATATTTCCCCAGGAGCAGCAAGCGGAAAGGCGTCTCTACAGTGCCGCCCAATCCAGCTGGACATGCCACATCGGCATTCTTGCTCCCCTGAGTCCACTTTGGACCTAATACACTAAACCAAGTTTACTGCTGCGATTCTGCATTTTTAGAGTACCGGGAACTATTTGAGAACGTGAGACAAGTTCGGTGACCGCAAGTGAAATTTACTCTTTAGACTTTATTAAGACTGACCATGTAACCATTGATCCTACTTTTATGGATCGAAAACAAATGGGTCGAGGCCTAAACGAGGCCCAGTGGAGTGTGTGGCTCAATCAGTCAATTGGGATCCGCTCGGCCGCTCGCTCCCCCGTCGCGCACGTCCTGACTCGGTCCTCAAGTGATCCGGTGCGTGCGTTGCGAGTTGCGACGTCCCCCACAACTCCCGCCTCCCGCCCGCCCATTTCCAAGCCTCCCCGCCCGAGTCACGTGGCGCCGGACGCGGCCGCGGCCGCCGATCGGCAGGCGATACTCGCCGGCCGGCCGGCCGACCGACCGAGACCACACGATAGGTTTGTCGTAGTACACTTGCAGTTCTCGCGGATTCTCGCGGTGCCCGGCCCAGCCGCAAATTGGGCGCGCCGCGTGCGTGATTTGATCTATCGATCCTTGCGCAGTTGCGCTTCCCTGATCGTCCGTGGGAAGAACCGAAAGCCTAGTTCATGGCGGCGGCGGCGGCGACCAGGGTGATCGGATCCAAGCCATCGGACTGCTTCCAGTTCATAGACCCTAACACCTGGTACGTTCCCCCTACATTTCCTATCCCCGGCCATGGCCACTGTCCCGTCTGCATGCAGATCGGTTGCGGATTTGTTCTTTTACTTTTGTTTTGTTTCTAGTTGCAGCGCCGGCCTAGTTAGAGTTTCTTAATTGCATCCGTTGTCTTCAGGCTATAACCTGATCAAAGTTTCCATCTAGGATCGATGATCTTGTAGTAGTAGTAGTTAATTACCGATCCTAATTCCACAACCAAATTTGGATCATACAATACAAATAGGTCCTGTTTTTTGTGTGTGTGTGTGGGTGGGTGGGGTGGGGGGGCGGTGTTCAGATCACACCTTTCTAAAAAACCTTACGACAAAGATATTTCTTAACCACTGATCTTTGGAGCGCTTGCAGGACTTGCATCACGGAGCTTGCAAGCGATGTGGTTGTCCAAGTAGGAGAGGTGTCCTTCCATCTGCACAAGGTATTTGTTTTCCCTCACAGTGCTCATCACATGCATTCTCATTTCTCAACGCTAGAGGATATTTGCTTTTTATTAGACTGTCAGATAACTTGCAAGTTTCGAATATGCACGTTTTTCATATGCTGACGACGTGCAAGGTGCAACTAAATCCCATCTGCATCATTCAGATGCCGTTGATCAGCCGTAGCGGTACGCTGAACAAGCTTGTGAACGAGTCCACCGGCGACGACGGCGGCGGCGATGACAGCAAACCGTGCACCGTGCGTCTGGACGACGTCCCCGGCGGGGCGGAGGCGTTCCTGCTGGCGGCCAGGTTCTGCTACGACGTCCAGACGGAGCTGAACGCGGGCAACGTCGTGCCGCTGCGGTGTGCGGCGGAGCACCTCGCCATGACCGAGGACTACGGGGAAGGGAACCTGGTGGAGCAGGCGGAGTCGTTCCTGTCCGAGGTGCTGGCCGGCTGGAACGACACGGTGCGCGCGCTGGACGCGTGCGACGACGCCGCCGTGCTCCCTGCCGCCGAGGACCTGCTCATCGTGCCGCGGTGCATCGACTCGCTGGCGGACAAGGCCTGCGCCGACCCGACGCTCTCCGGGTGGCCGATGCTGGAGTACTTCACGGCGAAGAGCCTCGAGGAGACGGCGATCTGGAACGGCATCGGCGCCGCCGGGAGGCCGCGGTCGCCGGGCGTGGACTGGTGGTACGAGCAGGCGTCCTCGTTCGGGCTGCCCGTCTACAAGCGGCTCATCGCGGCGGTGCGGTCCAGGGGCATGAGCCCCGAGAACATCGCCGGCTCGCTGATGCACTACGCCAGGGGCCACCTCTCCGGGCTCAGGCGGCGAGGAGACAACAGCGACGGCAGCAGCCGCGGCGTCAGAGCCGGAGCGTCGGGGACCGCGGCCGTGCTCTCGGCCGGCGACCAGAGGACCCTCCTGGAGGAGATTGTTGCGCTGCTCCCTGTCGAGAAGGGCGTCGCCCCGACGCGGTTCCTGCTCGGTCTGCTCAGCGTCGCAACGGTCCTGCACGCCGCCGCGGCGTGCCGGGGAGAGCTGGAGAGGAGGGCCGGCAACCAGCTGGAGGAGGCCGCGCTGGGGGACCTGCTGATACCCAACACCGGGTACTCCGCGGAGACCCTCTACGACGTGGACAGCGTGCAGCGGATGCTGGAGCAGTTCATGGTGACGACCCCGCCTGCGTTCGCCGCGTCGCCGGAGACCACGGACGAGGGACAGCTGGTCGACGCTCCGCCGGCCGAGCTCAGGCCTGTCTGCTCGGTGGGCAAGCTAGTCGACGGGTACCTCGCGGAGGTCGGGACGGATGCCAACCTCAAGCCCTCCAAGTTCCAGACCATCGCCGCTCTCGTCCCAGACTACGCCCGGGCAATCGACGACGGCCTCTACCGCGCCATTGATATCTACCTCAAGGTAAAAGCAACAGCTCACCATTGTTCTTCTTCTTGATCGATCTGCCTGCTGCACCTGAGTCTTGAATCGACTGGATAATCATGCTGCACTTGTGTGTGTCCGTGGCGCGACGCAGGCGCACCCGTGGCTGACGGACTCGGGCAGGAGCAGCTGTGCCGGCTGATGAACTGCCAGAAGCTGTCGCTGGAGGCGTGCACGCACGCGGCGCAGAACGAGCGGCTGCCGCTGCGGGTGGTGGTGCAGGTGCTCTTCTTCGAGCAGCTGCGGCTGCGCACCACTGTGTCCGGGTGGTTCTTCGTGTCGGACAACGCCGACCAGGGCTCCAGCTCCGACAACTGCGTGCTGCCGCGGAGGAGGCCCGACGACGACCTCGACTTCTCGGCCGGGTCCGAGGTGACGACGGAAGAGGACGGCTTCGCGGCGGCCAGGCACGACGAGCCGTCGTCGCCTGCGATGAGCGTGGCGGAGATCCAACGCCCGGGGAAGCCTAAGAGCGCCCTGAGCCGGCTGTTAGGGAAGCTCGGGCTCTGTGGGAGGTCGTCGTCGCGGCAGCAGCAGCAGCCGCCGCTGCCGGGCGCCAGCGACAAGAGGCGCAAGTCTTTCGATTTAGGGTGTTGATAACGGAAGGTTTAGGCGTGCATTGGTTTAGACGTGCGTTAATTAATCTGTTTGAGATGTAGCAATACGATTTGATGATGATATTACTCGTAGGTACAAAGCTCATTGGTTCATTCTTTTCGGATTGTTTTGCTGGAACACAAGTTTTTATTTAGACCGTTTGTAAATTTCTTATCAGGTAACGTTGAGGACTTGAGATGCTTTAGATGTCTCCTAAGGTTCTTTCGTCCACTTTGTTCAGTGTCATCTGACCCCTTGTTGAACTGCTACATGACTATACCTACAGAGAATCCTTCAGCAATTGTGTCCAAAAATCATTGCTTTAACTGGCCACTAAAATGTCAAGAACAGCAAGTAGCTACAGGGCAAAACTTATTAGCTCTGTTTACATGAGGAAAGTTAGGCAGGGGCCCAATTTGAGACCGGGTGGCTCCTATAGTATTGTATCTGATTTTCTCGTTCACCATCCACTATAATATTGTATCTGATTTTTCGTTCATCATCCGCATTTGCAGCATATGCTTCGCTGAAAAGTCATGGCTAAAAAGAACCGTTCAACGATTTGTTGCGAAAGAAAAACATTATTCCTTCGCTACAAGCGAACAGGGCATGGTCTGGGAAAATATGCGGTTGCACAGAGTACTGAAACCGGCAAAATCCAGTCGAACAAAAGAAAGGAAAAAATGACTCGTCAAACTCATGAGAACGTGGTCGAAGAAGTACAAGCGTGAAGGAGCGCAAGTGTCTGCTCCGCAATGGCGCGTTTCCTGGCTTGCTTCACCCACTCGGTAGCTATCTCCTCTGCTTCAGTTCCATGTAATCCTTGCTCCAAGGCATCAACCGCTGTACTCAAGTCTCCATCCACAATCAAGCTTTCTACTTTGTTTATAAGAGACTCAATGCCATCTCCAGAGTTATCGCCTTTAATCTGAAAACAAATGGAATGATTGCAACTCAGTTTAAAATCCCAAGGATAATAATAACTACAGCAAGGTACAAAGACTCCAAGAGGCCCAACTAGGGCCACCAGAAGTGGTGGCAGTGACACAACACAGTACCTGTCCTATAAGTAGAAATGAGATACGCTATAGATTTCAGTATTAGCATATCATTAGATGATTCTTGATCAAAAGATCCAGGAACAGCAATAACAGAAAAAATATTTCAGGAACAGCAATATAGAACTCACAATTGCATAATCACTTATCAAACTGGTCAAAGAAATGATTTCCTTAGCATTTACCTTGATTGAAGAAGCAACACGAGCAACAGCATGTGCCAGGATTCCACCACCACCTGCTGGTAGAAGGCTGAAATGTCTGATAGTTTCCTTCAAGGAGTTAAACTGCACGAGAAAAGATATACTAATTTAGGCATTTAGCTTTTGGGTAGCCAAACTGATGGTTTTAAACAATCATTCATGACAAGAAGCACAGAAAAAATTGTCGTTCGCATTCTTTTTATGCTAATTTAAGTCTAGAACTGGTCAGGGCTCAAAAAACCAAAATCTATGCATTTCTTTTTCATAACAATTGCTCAATGCGAAGGGGCGGGCCTGGTGCAAGCGGTGAGAGTCTTACTACCTGTGACCGGAAGGTCCCGGTTCGAGTCATGGTCTCCTCGCATTACCTGTGCGAGGGTAAGGCTTGCCATCGACACCCTTCCCAGGACCCATACCAGGCGGGAGCTCTCTGACTGGTACGCCTAACAATTGCTCAATGCATAGTAAGCAACTAAGCATATTGTCATAGGGAATATTATACATTTTATTTAACTGTAAGTATTCTAAATTCCATAATCCACTCAGAATAATAAAGTATGCTGTCGTACACAGAAATAACTTGATATTTTAGTATAGTATCACATACTCAATAAGAGTATGAACAGATGCCTTCATCCATTGCATCACAAAGAACATACATTTTGTTTTCAACAAAAAAGGAGAAGAAAATACCTTTTGCTTCAACCCCATCCGTGTATCTGATCCATAATCTAAAACATCTTCCGGGAGCGACGAAAGAGCCAATTCTAACAGTGAATCTTTGTCAATGCCTTCAACAGATTTACGCAATAGCTCCACTTCTGACCGGATTGGTGATCCACTGGATAAAGCGTGTTCCAAAGCAAGAGTGCCCTGCATGGAAATTAAGAATTTTGTTATTATGATACATGAAAAGAGAGGATAAGTTGACTATAAAGCTTTCAATAGTTAGAACTTGGAGGCAAGCACATAAGGGGATTCAAGTTAACTTACCAGAGCAAGCTTATGAACTGAATGACTCTGCCTAGCTTCTTCAGATCGTGCATAGAATGCCATACACAGCGCATCAATCTGAAATCAAAGCACAAAATAAGGGAAGAACCAAGTGCAAGCAAGCTGAAATTATGCATAACTTGTTTTTCTAGCAGTTTAAGATATAATATACTGGCACAGCAAATATATATAATCAAATTTACTGGCTATAATAATGATTTGCTGGATATAACATCTGGACAGTGTTTGAATGGTAGACTTCAAACAAACCGTGAGAAAGTTGTCGAGGATCCAGGTTCATCATAATCCAGATCATATATTATGACATATAGAAAAAGAGTCAGAAATGCTGAACCTACATCACTATAAATGCAGCTTACAGATGAACCAAAATTTAAAAAAAAAAGTTTTTAGACATCCAGTCATTGTGCTGCTTAACATCCTAATAGCATCACTGGCTAAGAATGGGGAGACAGGAACATTCAAAGGGAAAAGTGAGTGATAGGGAAGCAGCGTGGGCAGAAACTGCCACTACTAGTATTCGGTAGTCAGTACAATCCAAAACAGTACATAATACTCTAAATCAGAGAGTTCACAACCACATGTGCACCAAATCATTTAAGTTAGACAGGCCTCCGTTTTGCAAAACAGAGGTGCAAAGCCAATTTAAGAGGCACCACAGTGCCAGTAGGCCCGACATGCATTTTAAGCTAGTTCACATTATGAAAAACCTCTAATAGCCATTTAGAGCGCAGCCCTATACAAAATTGCATTAAGTCCTTACATTGAGGTTTGCTTCAGCGATCTGTTCAATCTGGGATGCTTTCTCTTTTGCAACAGCGGCAGCCAGTTCAGCTTTTGCTATCTCTTGAGCCTTCTCAATTTGTTGGCTTGTTTCTTCATCCTGTTAAATCAGTAGTACTAAGTTCAGTTACTTAATGAATTTTTTTTTAGAGAAGAGAACTTAAACATATATCAAATCTGACACACCTTCCTCTGCAGCTCATCCTGCAATTTTTGTTCAGCCTTTTCTTGCAGTTCCTTTATTGCAGCAGCATTCTTCAGTTTCTCTTTCTTTAGCTCCTGAGAACAGCAAGATAATTGAAAATCAGAAATTCAATGCAAACAAAAGATTCATATATAATTTTAGCCTACATTGAATAATGTGAAGATACCATGCATATCATACCGAGAATATTGTGCACTTTGCTTTAAACTGTGGTGTTTTTAAAAAGAAGAATTAAAAAAATATCCAGACTGCCACAGGAAAACAGAGTCTCACATGATATAGCTATACTAATTAATTTTACAAGTACACTATGACAGCCAAAGCTTTAGTTAAAGGCACTAGAAGTAGTATTTCCTACATTTTGAAATCTAAGGAAACATAATATGGATCAAATCATTAATCATGTCTACTTCATACCTTATCGAGAATTGCTGCCTCCTCTGCATACATTAGTTCCCTTGCCCTGGTGTCTTTCAGCTCCTTTTCATACTTCTCCTGAGAAAATGCAAAGCATAGCACATAAAACAATACTATCCAATGCCTAATTTAGGGAAAGGTTTGTTGACTGCTTAAAATCCACAATAACTAGGCGTACCGACTCTGAGAGAGCTCCCGCTCTGTCTTGAAGTGCAGGAAAGGGTGTTAGTGGCAAGCCTTACCCTCGCCTGTGCAATGCAAGGAGACAGCGACTCGAACACGGGACCTTCCGGTCACAGGCGGTAAGACTCTACCGCTTGCACCAGGCCCGCCCTTCTTAAAACCCACAATAACTATGGGCGTTAATATAAGTGAGGAAAATAATAGTGTAAACCACAAAGGTAAACTAATGTTGAACCTTATATCCTCAGCAAATAAAGACCATAGATAAGCAAAAAAGATAAAATGTAAATGAATAGCACACCTTCAACTTTCTTCTCTCTTCTGAATACATGTATGCATCTACATCTGCCTGCTTCTTTTCGGCAGCATGAATAGCCTCAATGATATCAAGTACAATCTTACCATCTTCATAAGTTTTTTCACGAACAACTTCATCACTTCTTTTTTCCTTAATGGTCTATTTTTTTCAGAAAAAGAAAAAAAAAAGAGGATAATCAAGTAAATAACATGGAAGAATTGTCATGTGTCATCAAGTTATTTCTAGACACCTCTTTGACAATAGAAAGTCATTTATCATATTGTTATACTCTAAAAACATTAGAACATTGAACTTACTGCATCTTTTGAAACATCAGGTTTATCTTGCAGTAAATATGTCTCAGCAAGAGATTTCTGTTCAACAGCAACAGCTCCAGTGAGATCCTACAGACAAGGATCGATTCAATAATCAGAAACAACATCATCAACCATTGAGAAAACAGGATAGTAATATAGAAGAGTTTCAACATTTGTGCTAGATGGATACTACAGATGGAGGATGCTGAAGTGATGACAAAGAAATAAAATAGTTTATAACAATGTAAAGCTAAACTTTGTGGGATCCCTGTGACAAAAACAAACAGCTCCAGTACTCAAATTAACAGTCCTATAAATCAAAACCAGTTCACAATCAAAATGTGTTCAAGAGTGCCAGCTGTCTGGTCAAGTTAAGTAGTCATAGACAAACATAGATGCATCAATGCAACAATAAACCGTGGGACATGCACACTATGTAAGGCCTACCTACACTGATTTATGTAAACCAAACTGCAAGAGAATTTCATTTGCAATTTTTAGGAATTTAATAAGACCAATAGGACCTGATATAGAATCCATGTTACACTCAGAATTTGTTCAAGTGCCAATTTGGAACTAGGAAACAAAGATACTATCCTCTATCGATCAGCATGCAAATGTTATGATAAGAAAGCAAGCAATGACCACAGAGGAATATATTAATATACCTTTGGTGCATCTGGATCTGTGGGGTGATCATAAGTACTAACTGTTGTTGGGGTTGACTGTACAGGAGGAACTGTGCTGTCTATCTTATCAGTTTGCTGTTCATGAGGAACTTCACCAGATTCATTATCATCGATGGGAACTCTCTTTAGCTCAACTGCTGGAGAATCTTCAGATGGCATTTTAGTATCAGATCCATGTTCATCTGGAACTTGATGTGTCTCATGGGCTAGGGTTTCTGATTTCTTTTCCTTTGCAGGAACAGGCTGATCCCCATTGGTTGGAACCTCTGGTGCCCCCCACCCCGTCATTTGAGAACGTCCTTTAGAGTATTAGCCTCATTATTACCCTCTTGAACAATCTCAGTGTTTGGTACTGACACGTTTTGTGTCTGGTCAACCTTCTGTTCAGAAGGAATCTTCAGATCTTCATACACCTTTACAGCATCTTCCTTCTTTAAGCTAAAAGGCAATTTCTTGTCCTTAAATTGAAGATCTATATAACCAAGTTGATGTGCACCCATAGCTGCTGCACCAACGACAAGAGTTCCAAGAACAAGCTTTGAAACATTACTTCCCGACTGAGAAGGTTGTCCTTGAGGACCTGGGGCAGCATTCTGTGTAGAACTCTTTGGAGCTGCCTTTGTGGAGTTGCTTCTAGATTTAAGGAATGTTGGACTCTGGACCAGATAGGTCATGTCAGTTCCACTGAACATATACTATCTAGACAAGCTTTATGAAAGCAGTAGGAAAAAATAATTACAGCAGGATTATATTCGGTGCTCTACATGGGAAAAAAACTGGCCATAGCATACTAAGATAAAAGAATCTCCGACCTCGTGAGGATTAGCCAACAAACAACATGGCCATATGTAACACGACTCCAATCCAAGTGGGATATAGCATTCCGTTGTGACATGAGCTTAAGTATCACAACTAAAATAACTCCATCCAAAGCTTACTAAAACAGGAACCAATAACATTACAACAATCAGGCACAGCAGGGAACAGCTGCAAACTCTCATAGAAAATAGGTTTTCCTGATTAAGAAAATAAAGCATCTCAATAATCTGTGTGGAGATCAGTATGCCAGTCACCAACAGTAATCCATTATGACATGAGCTTAAGTATCCCAAGATTGAATACCTAAACCAAACATGAAATGGGATTGATATTACTTTCATAACCAATAAGTAGACATCACTATTAGCTTGAGTCCCCTCATCATCCTAGATCCTGGAACTTTTTCAGACAGGTGAACAAGGGGATCAGCACACCTGTCACAGCGCCACAGCATTGTATTCCAAAAAATCCTTGCTTATTTAATTCAATCTCAAAATGTGCAAACTCTAAAATCCCCTACCGTTACACCATATACAATTACCAGCCTTAGCAGCATTTCCAAACTAATGAAGGCAGCAGCAATCTAACTAGCTTATTCACCAATTCAAAAGTCTCCAGACTAAGCTCAATCTTCTAGCATAACAGACAACAACGAGAACAAACAACCAACGGGAACGGAACCGCCTACCTCGCCGGAGATCGGTCTGGGGACCCTCGCGAGAGACCGCAGCGGGCGGAGATCCCGCATGAACCTGCAGTGGCAGGAAGAACAGAGCATTAGGCATCGAAACCCTAGGGTGTCGTGGGTTGAGACCAGAGTCAGTGCCCGTACCGGCGCAGCATGATGGGCGATGTCACTGGAGACCACCGTCGCTTGTTCTTCTCGCCGCTGGGGTGACGATGAGGAGGCGGAGGGGCAGTCGAGCGATGCGGCCCCGATCGCTCTGCACGGCCACCGCCCCGTGCCGTGCGACGGCGGCGGCGGCAAGGAGGAGGCGGCGGAGGGGAGGGGAGGGGAGGGGAGGCGAAGGGGGAGAGCGGCGCGTCGCCGGACAGCTTCCTGAACGAACGCTTGGAGAAGAAGTTGGGGATAGTTCGAGATTAGGCCCTGGATGGAATGCTAGAATTTTAGTGATTCTTGTGTCTTTATTAGGGCATGTTTAGATGCTGAAATTTTTAGCAAAAAATGACAACTGTAGTAATTTTTTGTTGTTATTTGGTAATTAAGTGTTTAATCATAGTCTAATTAGGCTTAAAAAATTAAATCTCGTGGATTTAAATCTAAAGCGTATGTAATTAATTTTATTTTTATTTATATTTAATACTTCATGCATGCGTCCAAAGATTCGATGTGATGGAGAATCTTGAAAAATTTGGCATTTTGAAAGGGAACTAAAGGGTACCTTACATCAAAATGAACCGCTTCCGGTAAAACTTCTATGTCCCTCTTCGTTTCCCTAAAATTTAGCTTACAGCGATACTTATCTTTGATTTATTATGAGAGAAAAAACAACGCATTCGATTCGATTTGAAAAGTACTCTTTGGAAAATATTCTTTGCGTTCCAACAAAAGATCTAAAGTAGAAGAGAATAGTAAAACGCTGCATATGAAATGGAAAGTTATAATTCTACCACAGTCTCAAATGCGACTTCACCCATCACACAGTACTACCAATATACCATACAAAAATTTATAAAAAAAAAGTGTCTCTCATCATACATATTAGGCTTTTTGCATTTTTAGCTATGTGACATGACAAAAATAGTTTGGAAGAATACATTAAAGCATTAAAATCTTGACCATCATTGATATCCATATTTGCTAATTCTGCCATGCTGGTGTCCTTCTCATTATTTAGGTAGTTTGGTGCAGCTTCTGGCTCTACCTCGTCACTATAAAACAATGTAGCGACGTTATAGCACGGCGGAGCCTGAGCCGGTGGAGCTAGATATTGTGGCTCCATCGGCTCCTCTTTCTCGGTTCATTTTTCATCTCAGGAGTGAAAACGGTTACTTGCTATAGGAGCGAATAGTAGCGCTACAGTGATTGGGAGGAGACAAACCCCACCTCCCCAGAGCTATACCAAATAGGATCGACATCCACATCCAAATATCCTCACCACTTTCGAGCATATCATTACATTTTATATCATGTACGGCTTCTTCTCTATTTCTCTATGGTATACATGTTGTCACATTTATTTTCTTCTCTCTTGATAAGCCATTTCTTTGAGAAAATGACCATTTATGATCAAATTGTCATATATGATTTACCTCACTCCCACGATCATCAATAATCCATAAAGGGGTAAAGTGGCAAAGAGGATTTGCTTGTTCTTCATTATTAGAGTTCTTTGACATAAAAACGCATCATATATGCACCTTGATTGTAGCCCGTGGTGACATGCGTTTGATCTTAGGTTCTAGGATTTTAAGGACCCTCGGCAATCTCATTGCAATGGGTCCTCTTGACCATGTATAAAATCTTATAATATATAGTCACTAATTTTACTTACAAAAGCGAAAGCAAATTCAATAACATATTTTTAATTTAACATATCCGATAATTATCGAGGAACAATGTAGATTAAGCAATATATTTATAGATGTATAATAATTATCGAGGAACAATGTAGATTAAAAAAGCAATATATTCGTTTTCTTTTCTCACCTATGACAAATGTTTCTTAGGTAACATTCTAAAATTCTAACACCTAAATTAGAAGAAAAATATGACTATATGGATACAAAGTACTAGAAGTCTGAAATACTATACAGATAATTAATTTAGATTAAAAAGAAAAAAAAAAAAAATACCTTAGGCCTAAACAACTAATCGATGATCGTAATTTGTAAGAAGCCAAGAATTAAGATGTAAAGTAAATCGTCGTGGAGCCCTGCTCATCCGGCTATCCTCGTCTGCGCGAGTGTCCAAGTGTCTCCTGTAGTCTAGCTCTTTGGCGGCTGGTGGCTCGCTTGACTCACGTGTGTAAGGCGCCGCGTCGCGAACTCACGATCGGAGTGTGTTGTGTGCAGCGTGACTCCTCGCCTCCTCTCTACCCAAGGGCCATGGGAAAAGAAACTAGGAAAGAAATGTCGATGTTGTCCTTTTGGACCGCCTAGCCAGTTCCATGTCTCTCTTCTCATTAGTTTGCTAATGCCTGATGGACTATAGGACCTGAGAATTTGTACACCTAGGCTTAAGCCCCTCCTCCGCTTAAGCCCTCGGCCGTCGCAGCTCGTGCCCTACCCGTAGGGCCAGCACTGCATGTGTTAGGTGTGGCGCGGAAGGTAAATCTAGAGGTATTGGTTTCCATAGTCATTCAACGCTAGCATATTGAATGCTCATGCCAGGAAAGTGATTATGGATTTAGAATAAAATAAACTTGACATATATTCTCTCATTTTAAATTGCAACAAATCATCTGGAGTGTAATTTACATCTATACATAGAAAAGCCATAATAAAAACCTATAATTTGAAACGGAGAGAATAATCAATAAGAAAAACCACTATATTGGTGCAATATATGTATCAGATAGAAGATAAAAATTGGAGATAGCATACCAAACTTTTATACAAGAACCGAGGCAAAGCGCTTTAATTTGGCTTTGACTTCTAGACTAACTACTTTATTGCTACTCTTAACTATCTTCTTAGACTGTCTCTAATAGGTGACCTATAAGGACATCCAAATCCAAAATAGGTCTCCAACAGAATACCTATACAGGAGACCCATTTTTTATGCCAGGAGAGACACAACCTAAATCTAAGTATCCTCTCTCCTGGAGACCCATTTGCAGAAATAATTCTCTTTTAGGTCATGTTGTTGGAGAAGATCGAAAATAGGTATTGAACCATTTGCCTATAGTACTACCCAAACATAGAACGGGTCTTGTATTTTGGATGCCGCTGTCAGAGATAGTCTTATACCTTTTGTTAGAGAAGGGTCATCAATGGATCACCAATACACATGGCTAGTCTTCGGCAACTATTAAAGATCGGTTGCACGACTTTAAGATAATTGAGCACACGATGATAAAGTTGTAGAATAGTTTGTAAAATGATGCCATTGAAATATCTATCTCTAATAATAAAGAGGTAAAATTTTCTTCTTTTTTTACCATTTTTTATGACCTCCTCTAACTAACTCCGTGAATATGAAAAGTATTTATGTTGGTCTCTCTAAAACTCTCCTGTTTTATATGTATATAATAACATATGCAGGCCTTCTTAGGTAACCTGGATCCGGATACGAATCTAAATCGTAATCCAAATAGATCCTTTAAGTTCTGAGTAACTTTGGTACGAATCTAATCATATCCTACTGTCTATAGAGAATGAAACGTTTCTTCAAACCGTCTTTTTTTGTCCTAATAGGAAACCTACGTTCCCTCATGAGCGTGAGTCCATAGGTCACACGCCAAGCAGTTTTATTTGAATATGATACGGCAAGCACACTTGTAAAGAGGCAAAATTTCTGCGGTATTTTTTTTTTCTGCCTCTCCTTACTTATCTTGGTGCTATCCGTCCCTGAATTAGATTAATGTTCCATGTATTAGGATTCTTATTAACAGGATGTCAGGAATGGACAGTCATAGAGAGAAAACCATAACGTCAAGGCAGGGGCAGAGGCGACAAAACATACTTCTGCTCTTCGGATCCGATGCATGGAACCTGAAACCGAACCGAAGCCTGAAGCCTAGATCGAATAAGCAACAAGCCCATGAGTACTAGATGAACACGGCTGACTAGCAGTCTATTCGGTTGGCTGATTAAATTATTATTTTGTTGATTCGTTTATATGAGAGAGAAATCTTTCTTTGGTTGGTTCATTGGAGCAGTGTCCATGTGAGAGGGCTGGTATTGACCAGCCTTGATCGATCACCCCAGTCGAACACGGCGTAGATCTCGTGCATGGGCCTTCCTGACCTAAAATCCGTGTGCGCAGTTGAGACTCTATCATCTTACAATGTACCGGCACACTTTTTGTTGATTCAAGAATAAAACTTATGTATTATGATGGCTGACATACCAAAGAGAATTGTAAAAGCAAGAATGATGGGATATTTTGTACAGTATCTTAAAGTGGAATAAAAAAAATGTAAGTCTGATTAATTTCACTCCTCTTACTGTAGCAATTAGCACGAGCACGGATCAGCAAATTGTATGCCCCCGTTACAGCGAGGGATTTTCCGCCTATTTTTGTCTATCCATTTTTTATCCGTCTCCCTCTAACTATAAGATAATGGAGAGTTACTTACATCCGGACTTATATATATAACTCGTGCTCATACGAGTTGAAGACTTGGACACCCGAATAGATAATCCTAGTTCAATTTGTTTCTTGATCCCAATAGGAATACTAATCCTAATTGAAATAGAAATAGAAAAAAAGATAAAAGTATAAATTAGGTAGTTCCTTTGAGAGAAAAATACAAGAAAAAGTTTTTTATGGTTATGAGAGAAATAGAAGAAAAAAGTTATAACTATAATTGTTTGAGGAAAAAAAACAGAAGAAAAAAATAGAACGGGAGTTGAAAAAAGACAAATCTACAAAAAAAAAGGAAAAGAAGACTAATACGGTATGAAATCGGAATATAGGAGCAGACGGAAATAAACAAATCTGGAGGAAAAAACAAGAGAAGAATCTGAACAAAAGAGAGAGGAGAGGAGGTGTGGTCTTGAACCAGGAGAGTCCAAGAAGTATTAGGCTTGGAGAGAGTCCAGAAGTAGTATAAGGAAGAATACATGGAGAAGAAGCGGAAGAATACATGGACAAGAATTGTAGCAGCGATACATATCAGACTCTATTTGTTGATAAATAGCTAGGGGACTCTAAT